GTTCCCATATTTAGAATGCGGCACCCAAACATACTCTGATTCTGTCCAAATAAGGGCAATTCGTCTCGTGGGTGATGCCTCGCTCACAAACTCACTCACTTCTCTGGAACACCGTAGACGGCCGTGGGCCCACCATGTACTCACGGCGTCGGGGTGGGGGTAGCCTCAGGTGACTCCAGACACCACTGGTTAAAAGCTTGAGGTCCTCACTCTTGTCATGGTAGCGGTACGTGTGAAAGGCCGCGAACGGACACCCAACAAACGGGACCAGAGGATTCTGGTCGACATGGGTAGCTGGGCTTGCTCAGCGAAAAATGGAACTTTGGTGTACCTTGTGCCTCAGTTCGACAGGGAGAGGGCAGCCCCAAGCGATCCTATCGCCAGTCATCATAGGTAAAAGCCGGGTCCTCTCCTGTAAACGAGTTAGAGGAACGTGTAAAAGTCCTCGAACGATCACTCATTCAACGGGACGAGAGGATTCTTGTCAACATGAGTAGCAGTTAGGCGAAAGCCTTTTTCGACGGTGACCCATCAAACGTAACAAGAGGAATCTTGTTGACATGGGTACCTGGGGTGATGAGCATAGCCCCATCAGGCCGTACATACGGCCTGGTGCCTCACCAATTGGGTTGGACTCCAGGGGGCAGCGGTTTCCAAAAAACATCACCGGACTACGGTAGAGGAGGTGAAGAAGAATCCCACTATGGGTCAAGTGGGAGAATATCTTGCCTGCCTCGGCGGGTGAGCAGCGTTTCTGCTCGGGCACTGACACCGCAGAGCCAGTAGTCTGTCTTATCAGACGGCCTCACCATTGGTATAATAAAATGGTAGCAGGAGAACATGCCGTTACATAACGGAGATGGCTCTAGCGCGCTGATTTGGCGTATCCAAATCCTCCATTTCTCCCTGGGGTGCTGTCGGTTTAGGTCGAAAGATAGGTGACCGGCAGCTATCCCCTAAGGGAGTCTTGTGAGAGGGGGGAGAAATCCCACCTGTTGCTACCCCGGCAACTTTGGTCCTGGACCTTGTTTGTTGTTGGAACACCGTAGAAAAGTTGGCGATCTGGCTCTATTTTATAAATATTTTCATGGACGATGCTCTTCTGGAATATCAACAATTGTTCCTTCCTTGGCAGTCCCCGCGAGATTAACCCGTCGAGTTGAGGCTCCGCACCCCTTCGTGGTCTCTTTGGAGACCTGCAGAACATCCTTTTCCAAAGACCCGTTAATCCAACGAACAGCGAGGCTCTGGAACACACCTCCAGAAATTCAAGAAGAACACCAATTTCTACCTTATTTCCTTTGGTTCTCACGATGTACGCTGAACATTACAGGATATCCCTTTTCGTTGGAACCAGAATATAAAAAAAAGTTATGTCATCAGCTATTGACGGCAATTACGCGATAATGACATACCTTTACTCGCGGAATAAACGAAAACTGTGCGTTGTGCTTACTGTGCGTAAAGAGCTACTTAATGAGGCTGTATCTCGTGTATTCTTGCATACTTTCTATAGTGGCCGTAGGTAAAATATGTTGCTAACATTTAGACTTGCTACTATGGGGGTACTTACATGATTAAACGCCATATTTACCGTATAATTCATCAAAAAACACTTCAAAATTGTAAATAAATGCACCACATGCACCCACGTGTACGGAAATATTGAGGTTAGCTTGTTTTATTCGTAAACAAACACCGGCTAAATGACCCTGGGCATTGGAAAGACTGAACTTACGTTTTTACATGCTTATTTGGGATCATATTTCCCACTAGTCTAAATAAAATCTGCCTTGGGACCTATTGTCCCGTTAGTCTCGAAAGGGTTAATAAGTGAGAAATTCCATCTTCGCCCTGTATCCCCAAAACATGAAGGAATGTGAAAATTCTGTTCGCGGCATTATTCGTTTAACAAAAAAGTAAGGCAGTAATGTGAAAGCATCAATAACACTCCAAAGATAAATGAGATATCGCCTACATAAGCATCGAAAACAGGACACACTGTACATATGTTTATCTACTATTTTTAGGTCATCGAAATTCAATAGACACCACTTTCAGTATTAGGTGAATTATTCAATATTTTGGCGGATTCATAAATAAATCATCCAAAACAGTAATTATTGTTTATATAGGATTTGCATCCGTGTGAGTTGTGTGTTCATTAAACTACTAAGGATTTAGATATAACGGAATAGATAATGATTTTGTTTTATAAATAATGTTACATACTATAACATTGATAATAATAATTATGCTTCTGTATTATATCTCCGTTTATTTTATGGCTTTCAGAAGTGTCATACAGGGTGGGGAGTCCCATTTTCTTGCCCAGCAAAATCATACAGGCTGATCTATACAGGGTGTCCCGAAATTACATGGAAAGATGTCAATACAGATTCTAGGAACAAAAATAGTAAAAAAAGTTTATACAGGGTTACTGGTAATTCGATACAATCCTTTGGAGATGTGATAGGGAAGATGGTAGGGAGTAAATTAAACCCCAATTTGCATTATTCAAAAGCACTAGAAAAACTTATAAAATGGAGATTAAAAAAGCACAAATAATTACAGTGAATACAAGATTCATAGAGAACTCGAGTAATAAAGTTTAGGCAGCATGGCAAATCATCAATCAGAATAAATCTGTTAATAAGCAAACAACTACAATTGTAGATTCTCCATCAGCAGAAGATTTTAATGAATACTTTGTGAACATTGTAGAGAATATCATGAATACGATCTCTTTCGAAGATGTACCGGACTATCTCCGTGAGCCAATTGACATAGCTGATGATGTTTTCTTGAATATTTTGGAACCTGTCACAATCGATGAAATAAAGGAAGTTGTAAAAAATTTTAATACCTCTCATGCTCAGGATATGTTTGGTATGAGTAATAGTTTATTGTAAGTCATCATCGACAGTATCGTACATCCTCTAGAGTCTAGTTGATCTCATAAATATGTGTTTCAGACATGGAATTTTCCCAAATATCCTCAAATGCAGCAAAGTTAAACCCCTACATAAAAAAGGGAATATCACAGAGACAACAAATTACCGACCGATATCGTTAGTTCCAATCATATCAAAAATACTAGAACCTTTAATTAAAAATCGTCTGATGTTTTATTTTGAAACCAACAATTTACTCTCATCAGAACAGTTTGGTTTTCGGACAGGGAAATCCACCACTCTTGCCATGATCAAGTTCGTAGAAGTAGTGACAGCAGCATTAGAGGAAGGCCTTTATATTGATGTAACCATGTGCGACTTGAGCAAAGCATTTGATTGCGTAGATCACTCTATATTGAAATCGAAAATAAAATACTACAAAATCAGTGGTACGGCTTTGAAACTTATTGACTCTTATTTATCGAATAGAAAACAATTTGTTGAATTGAACGGTCAGAGATCAAGTCACAGGAACAATGACTATGGCGTTCCTCAGGGCTCTATTTTAGGCCCAATATTATTCTTGGTTTACATAAATGACCTTCCTAGTAGACTGGAGAACACTGACACTATCCTTTATGCAGATGATGCTACTTTCATACACCAGAATGAAGTTATTGATGATGTTCATGAATATTCCAATGACGCTGAAAAAATTACAGAGACATATTTTTCTTCAATCAAACTAAAAATGAATATGGAAAAAACTCCGAAAATAACTATAGCAACTAGGAAAAATACTACAAATATTGCCCCAGTTAAGTTATTAGGATTCCATATCGACAGCAAATTAACATGGAACGTTCATACCGAACATCTCGCGAAGAAACTATTATCAAATCTATTTTTATTGAGGCGATTGAGGAGATCGGTATCACATGATTTGATGCGAATTGCATACTTTGCTTTCATAAATAGTCACTTGCAATATGGGATTCTGATTTGGGGACACATCGCAAACATGCAAAACCTTTTTAGGCAACAAAAACAAGCAGTTAGAATTATATCAGGCTCAAGTCCTAGGACTCCCAGGGCACATTGTAAAGACCTATTTATTGAATATAATTTTCTTAGTTTGCCTAATATGTACATTTATCAATGCCTGGTTTATGTGAAAGAACACTTGACTGAATACAAACAAAATTCTGATATCCATTCTCACAATACGGGAAATAACAATAATATTGTAATTGCTACAAATATACTTCAGAAATCTCAACAAGGTTTCAATTTCTATGTTCCGACTTTTTTCAACAAATTACCTGATGATATGAAGAAATTAAATTTAATGCCCTTCAAATGTAAATAAAAAAAATATCTGATCAGAAAATGTTTCTACTCTATTCAGGAATTCACAGCCTTATTGACACATGACATGATATAGATTTATGAAACTTCTAGTTAACAATACTGAAATGTGATATTTATAGAACTAAGTGTATATGTTTGTTTGACCAATGTGATCATGTTTATTGTTATTTATTCTATTTCCTTTTTTTTTTCATTTATCTATTTATTATCAAACGATTTTTTTATATATATTGACGAGTGTAAACATTTTACAATGTAGTAACACTATAAATAAATACAAATACAAATACAAATTATGCAAAAGTTAATAGTTTTTGGGATATTATTTTTTTTTTGTTTTTCTTCATAAGGTAGACTTATAAAGGGTTTGAAAGTTAGTTTTCCGAAAATCAGCTCTACATCGCCCCCATACGGCATATATGAAAATATCATCATTTGACCTGAAAATGATACACCTTTTTAGTTCTATATATATATCTAGATTTCTTCCCTTCAAACTTTTTTTCCAAACAAAGTGTCACTGACAAGCTATCGGAATTTTCTTTTAGGCTCTCTGATAGGAAAATTTGTTAAACGCAGTTACATTTTGGGGCAAATCGTCTGATTTGTCCAACTACAGATATATTGAAATAAGACGCATATTTTTATTTTGTTGAAACGAGTAGAGGAAATCCGAGAAAATCCCATATAATCGATTAACCTACAGACAGTATATAAAAACTATTTTTTTTTCAGGTTGCACTCTTCAGACAAATCGCAGTACGAAATCCCAGTAAGTATATGATATTTGTCAGCATTGTAAATACAAATACACGCTTAATCACATCAGTTTTAGACTATATGAATGAAAGAAATTGTATAGCCGGATTTTTTTTTTAATTGACTTGGCCGTTACTTGATGGGAATTCATAGCCAATGTAAAAACTTCACAAACTATGAGATTTCCAAAAAATTCTTAGTCACACGACATGTTTCGCTCATTGTTTGTGGAGTTTTGGCATATTTTTTTTTCGTTTCATTTCGCTGCATTGATCAACATCAATAATAAAGTGGTTTGGTTGATTTCATAGGATAGGATAATTTTTTTCGAGCAAGGGTTTAAAATTTCAGTGCATAATAAATCAACACAAAATGGTGGTTTATTAGCTTCAACTTTCATTAAAGCTGTATTCATATCTTAGAATATTCAAAATTACCAAAATAACAATTATCAGTCATTCAAATGAACAAATCAAGATAAATATTCTCGATGAAAAGATATTTTATATGCGTATTATATGAAGTAGATGAGAAAAAAAAGAAATAATCTCTCAATTTCACCATCAGATAATATAAAGTATAGGTAACTTGTCATTCAAAATATCAGGTAGGTACCCCCGTGACTAGATTATAAAACAAAGTCTTTTAGATTGCTTCGAAAACCTCGAGGAAAACCTATCGATAACAGCATTTATATCTATTTTTTTTTTTTTTATTTTATCGATTGGAGCGCACGAAAGGGAATCCCTATAATGTTCAAAGAACATCGTGCGTTCCTAGGGAGGATAGGGACAGGAGGTAGGTATTGGAATTTTTTTTGAATATTTAATATAAAGTTAATCCGACTAGCCTGACCCATTGTACACCTCAACCATGATTTCAGTGTCTTACTTACCTAAATGTATAGGAAATGATCTTTCAGCACTCGCCACACTCACCGGTATAACAGATTTTATCTGCAGGAGTGTATAAATAGTCGGAAATATTTCGATACTGCAATGCTGTAAAGTATCTAAGGCTGTTTTTTTTGGGTAAATTATAGGTTTATTCTTGGTTTCTTTCCATTCATTTTTCCAAAGATCTATTTTTCATTGCAACAAATCTGACTAAAATGTTTGGGAGAGAATTCATTCCTGAATTTACTAACATATTCAGAAACTTGCTTTACTAGAATCTTTGAATCACTGGTATAGAACATAATCAGGCATCAACCTGTTGATAAATAACATTTTGGATTCATTATTAATCATTATTTCTAAGTCTTTTACTGTTTTACTATTTTTGTGCTTTCAGGGGGGGTACTGTCCCCCAGTACCCCCCTTATCTACGCTGGTGCATGCAATTGGGTTTTTGTTGGGAAACAAGTAATAAGATCTCCGAAAATTCAAACCTATGAAACTAGTCAGATCACTTTACGTTGGACAAAGCTATATTATTCAGTGTACATTTTCTCTCAATCATCGGTAGAGTATTAATAGACTGTTGGCCCGCGACACAGGGTTTATCGATGTTCTAAGTCGGTATGCCATTTAAGGGACCCACTCACTTAGTCCAAGTTAACAGGAAGGAGTGCCAGGCAAGGACTGGGTTGCGACTCTCCGAGGCACTCCTTCCTGTTAACTTGGACTAAGTGAGTGGGTCCCTTGAATGGCATACCGACTTAGAACATCGATAAACCCTGTGTCGCGGGCCAACAGTCCATAATTGTTCAATGTTTCATTGAGAATCCATTAGTTTCATTATTACTCTAAACGATCAAGGGAAACCTCGTCTTCTGGTAATATCAAATTATTCAAAAATAACTGATATAACCAATTAAGATGGAGCATGAGTAAGCAAGCTCGTAAGCAAGTTCCAGTTTCGAATTAAATTGAACTCTTTCTTCTGAAGAAAAGTCACTGTTATGAAGGATCCTATCTGTCAATAATAATTTGAAAAAGAATATTAGAAGAAACAATTTTTTTTTGATAACATCACATGGCCTCAATGATTATTCACTATCAACATTTCACCTACTTGATCAGTGTGAAAACGTAACTTTACTAAGCCAAATTCAACAATGGCAAAAATAATTAAGTTGTCCAAATACCGAAATATACAGGGTGGTCCGGTTTGTAATACAAACAATTAAACAGTTTGTTGTACTCGTTGAAATAATGAAAAAAGTTCATATAAACATATACTTTCAAAAACGTCGTTTTTTAAATTTGAGGTGCTGAAAATATGAGTCTGAATATTGTTTTTTGATGAAAAGTTCGAAACGCTTTGAGATAAATCAACAACATTTCTCACAGATACTTAACTTTTTACGCTCTATATGATGAATTCAAAGTTATTTCACAAAGTGATTCAGTGGCGGCTGAATCTGGGGGCGATGAAGGAAAAATCACCCCAATTTTTAAATCTGCATTCTATTTTTCATTCTCGAGTATGGAAATACTATTCCGAATCTAATTGCACCAGAAGAAGCTCCATATTACTATTATCAAAACCACACCCTGTATATGCGCTGTTTTGTGTATTCGTCACATGATTTGTTGATTGTGATACATCATGGAAATTATTTTATGGTTTATGTTTCTCACCGTTTTCCGTTTGGGCTTATTCGGATGTTTCATTACGAAGTGCAAAACTCATCATACCTATATTCTCACTAGATTCATTGATTACGTCATATGTCATCGATCATGTCATCATTCACCGCCTGAAAGTTCCTCAGCTGATATACTTAAGAAATAGAAATGATTCGAAACATTCTAGATTGTGAAAACATAGAAATAATCAGTGTAACTAATTTGATGAAGACTCGTGAGAAAAACTTTCGCATCATTGTTCATTGTGTACCTACCTACCAAATTCAAAACAATTCAGTGGTTCACGTTTAATATTTTCAGCTAGGACTCCTGTTCATTGCACTAAAGATTTCGAAGTTAATAATATAAACGAAGGAATAATATGTAATTGAAGAGAAAAGTTAGAGAAAAGTTCTTGAAAAGTTGAGTTGACGATCCACTGTTACAATAAATAATTGTTGATTGGAGTTTCAATTTTTCGAATTAAAATGATAGAGAGTAGGTATATGGTGCGGAGAAGTTCTTATTTCACCCAAGCTCGTTAAAAAGTGTAAAATCTACAGAAATATCATGCCACAAAATGTTCAATTCTATGTTTTACTGTGGAGTACAAGATATGTATCATCACCTGTATATATTTGTTAATAATCAACACTATTTGATAGATACACGGTAGTTTTGAAATAGCATGTCAGACATTCTGAAGTAGAAATATGTTCAGTAGCGTATAGAACATTTTGTAGTTGAAAATGTTATATTCAGATAAGTGTATTTAATTTTCAACTTCAACACTCTTTCTTTGTACTACTAAAGTGAAACTTTCTGATTATTGAGTTACCAATAAGCACCGGAATTCTGTCTCCAGATTTTCAAAACACCCTGTATATTCAAATTTGTGAAAACGATGTAGATAATCCTATACATTTAATAGCTGTCAAATGTGAAAGTTGAGTATCATCGCATCATCTGTAAATAGCTGATACATGACTACGTAAGTAGAACTCAAAAATATCATTATACCTACCTAATTTCCAAAGTAAAATGAGAAATACCTATTTTAGGTGATCCTGATGAGTCCAGTTACAGCTTCGGACAAGACAGTTCCATTGGTACAAGCCTGAACAACATGGAAGGTCAAAGATTGATTGGCAGAAGCATAGATAACATTGCTGGAGGCAGTTTGATCGGCAGGAGCATTGATAATATCGGAGGAGGCAGTTTGATTGGTAGGAGTCTAGACAATATTGGGGGACGTCAACGGCTGATTGGTAGGAGAGTAGATAACATTGGAGGAGGTAGCTTGATTGGCAGAAGTCTTGACAATGTTGCAGGAGGCAATTTGATTGGCAGAAGCATAGACAACATTGCTGGAGGCAGTTTGATCGGCAGGAGCATTGATAACATTGGGGGAGCCAGTTTGATTGGTAGAAGTATTGATAATATTGGAGGAGGCAGTTTGATTGGTAGAAGTATAGACGATATTGGAGGTGGTGGATTGATTGGTAGAAGCATGGATAACATTGCAGGAGGCAATTTGATTGGCAGAAGCATAGATAACATTGCTGGAGGCAGTTTGATCGGCAGGAGCATTGATAACATTGAGGGAGCCAGTTTGATTGGTAGAAGCATTGATAATATTGGAGGAGGCAGTTTGATTGGCAGAAGTATAGACGATATTGGAGGTGGTGGATTGATTGGTAGAAGCATAGATAACATTGCAGGAGGCAATTTGATTGGCAGAAGCATAGATAACATTGCTGGAGGCAGTTTGATCGGCAGGAGCATTGATAATATTGGAGGAGGCAGTTTGATTGGTAGGAGTCTAGACAATATTGGGGGACGTCAACGGCTGATTGGTAGGAGAGTAGATAACATTGGAGGAGGTAGCTTGATTGGCAGAAGTCTTGACAATATTGCAGGAGGCAATTTGATTGGCAGAAGCATAGACAACATTGCTGGAGGCAGTTTGATCGGCAGGAGCATTGATAACATTGGGGGAGCCAGTTTGATTGGTAGGAGCATTGATAATATTGGAGGAGGCAGTTTGATTGGCAGAAGAATAGACGATATTGGAGGTGGTGGATTGATTGGTAGAAGCATAGATAACATTGCAGGAGGCAATTTGATTGGCAGAAGCATAGATAACATTGCTGGGGGCAGTTTGATCGGCAGGAGCATTGATAACATTGAAGGAGGCAGTTTGAATGGCAGAAGCATTGATAATATTGGGGGAGGCAGTTTGATTGGTAGGAGTTTAGACAATATTGGAGGAGGTCAAAGGTTGATTGGCAGGAGGGTAGATAAAATTGGAGGCGGCAGTTTGATTGGCAGAAGTATCGACGATATTGGAGGAGGTGGACTGATTGGTAGAAGCATAGATAACATTGCAGGAGGAAATTTGATTGGCAGGAGCATAGATAATATTGCTGGAGGCAGTTTGATCGGCAGGAGCATTGATAACATTGGAGGAGGCAGTTTGATTGGTAGGAGTTTAGACAATATCGGAGGAGGTCAGAGGTTGATTGGCAGAAGCATAGATAATATTGCTGGAGGCAGTTTGATCGGCAGGAGCATTGATAACATTGGAGGAGGCAGCTTGATTGGTAGGAGTTTAGACAATATTGGAGGAGGTCAGAGGTTGATTGGCAGGAGGGTAGATAACATTGGAGGCGGTAGTTTGATTGGAAGAAGTATCGACGATATTGGAGGTGGTGGACTCATTGGCAGAAGCATCGACAATATTGGAGGAGGTAGTTTGATTGGTAGGAGTCTAGATAATATTGGAGGACAAAGATTGATTGGTAGGAGAGTAGATAACATCGGGGGAGGTCAAAGATTGATTGGTAGGAGAGTAGATAATATCGGAGGAAGTAGTTTGATTGGCAGGAGCATAGATAAAATTGCAGGAGGCAGTTTGATTGGCAGAAGCATAGATGGCATTGGAGGAGGTGGTTTGATTGGTAGAAACTTGAATGATGTTTAGGAAGATCGATCCATTTAAATATGATGGAAGTGATAATTTGTAAATATTTGAAAAAGTCTGAGTTAATATATTCTGAGTTGTATTTGTGTATTGTTTTATTCTTCATTCCATATTCATGATATATATGCACTGTCAAATATACAGTGTGGTGATAAAGATAATAAAAATAATTGATGATTCCATCATATGAAGTCAATAATAAGTACCTTAGAACTAATGCGCCTATATCGAATCAGTTCATACCTTCATCAGCACACGGTGGTCCACAATTGATGTAACCTGATGGCCGATTTAACAGGGTTGGTCAATTAATTAGAGACCTGATAGATGAAAATTGCTATGGCTGGTGCCTGGGGGTAAATTTTTGTCAAACATCGTCACAGAATTACAAGGATTTTTTCGAAAATGTCCATTTTTACACAAGATCAATCTTTTGTTTTTTCGTATTGTCCATGCCCGAGTCCATGCCACATTGCTGCAATTATTACCTAAACTCAAAACATTCCATACAGAGGATCTTCCATCAAGAATAATTGAAGAAAAAGAAAATAAATAGGAAGGAAAGTCCTACATTATAATATAATAACCATTGGATATATAGGGTGATTCTGAAATTGCGATAAAAGATGTGAGTAGATGTTAGGTACGAAAAAAACAAAAACAGCAAAAATACAATTTTGTTGAAACAAAATTATGCATTATGCAATTATACAAGTCATACGCACCAGAGGTATCAATAATAACTTTTAGCTATGTTTCCGACGGTCTTCAATAGTGGTAAGTGAATGCATAATATTTTTATGAAAAAATCAATAGGTAGTCGCAAATATGTTCTAACTTGAATTCAAATAGGCTACATTTTTGACCTATACTTTATGTTTGCCTCCACCTGTCCAGAGGAAAATATTAAGTAAACCGCGATCACATATTAGTGAGAAAATCTGTTTACTAATAAAATTGATCTATTCGAATGTGAAGAAATGATTTTACCCAGTGGGTATACAGGGTTTTCCAGATTTTTATCAAAATTCGATTGGCGATCATAGTGCTTACAAAAATAAGGAGAACATTTCATATGAACTTGTATGTTTCGGAGCTTAGTTTACGAAATACAGGGTGTTGACGCTCGAAATATTATTTATTTTCCTTTTTCACAGAAAAACTTTTCAAGGAAACTACAGCAACAACTGAAAATAATTTCGCATGAACACAATACAAGATAAAGAAAATCCAGAAGGGTAGAAGTGAAAAAATCATTGATAACTACAGGGCAGAGATCATTTCATTTCTTTTTCCCTCGTATATATTTTCGTATTCCAACATGTATAAGAGATATTACCAATGTCGATATTCTCAAAACAAAAAAAATAAAGATTTGGATTCATATTCATTCAATACAATACAATCATAGTTTCGACACAAATGAATCCTAAAGTTAAAAAATCTCGATTTTGAACACCCTATATCTCTGTAATCATCATCCGATAGACCCCAAATGTGATGTATTGATGGAATCAGCTCTTCAGGGAGAATCTAAAAATGCAATGAAATACAGGGTATTTTATTTGAAATAACAAAGTTGTTGCTAATTTTTTATATAATGGAACGTATTTCTAAAGTATAAGCATGAATATTTTCATGGATTTCTCCCGCAACATATTCTGTTTGAATGCTCTATAAGGCCAAACGCGATTTTGTCAGATTTCAGAAGTATTGATGATCTAGTACTTCTACTCAACACCCATAACATTGTATATCTAACAAAGCTTAATTGTGCAGTCTTTGATGAATATTATGAAGTTACGAACATACATGATGAATGAATGAATTTCAAGCTATTAGGGATTGTTTTTGGTACTCTCTCGGGTATTAGGCGTTAGGTAGGTATAAAACTTGTACAGGGTGAGTCATGACTAACCAACCATAGCCTAATGGTAAATAGAAGGAGTCAAGGTGAGTTGATATATATCTGAAAAAATATATTTTGCCAATCCTTAACAGAAATACAGGACATTATTTGAATTCGGGGCGAAACTTTGGTGAACGATATTTCAGGAACGTCTCGATGTTATCGCCTGAAATTCACCAGCAACTTACCTCTACTGACACACCACACGATGGCATACTATGAAAAAAAAATCCAGACTTGGAAAACTCATTTTCTTTTTAAATGTCAAAATTTCGACTTTCTGTACCGTATTTTTGAAAAACTCTCATCAGAATCAGTTAGATCAGGAAAAACCCTACAAGTGTAACTTTTCAATTTGTACGGCACACTTCTGCCGGATTGGTGAAAAAATATCGAACAAAATACCTACTGATGAACGATTCCATGATTCCGTACTGGCTATTAATTTTAGTCACATCGTTAAACAAATTAATTTAAATACATTTCTTGCATATCGGTGTATTATAAGAGTTACAAAAAGGCTCAATTCGATGAGAATTTCTAGGACCGGACTTACTTTTCTTCAAGAGACCTTTCAAAACATGAAAATAACAAGTACCTGATTTTCAAAAAAAATTCCAATACCTACCTCCTCTCCCTATCTTCCCTAAGTACGCACGAACATTATATGAATTTCCTTTCGTGCGTCCTTTTATTCGAGGTTTTTACCGTATATACATTATATTTAATGTATGTATTATATTTTAAATAAGGATTCTCCCCTTACTTCTTACTTGTTATGTTTGTTTTCAAAGATATTTAGTAATGTAATGATCTTATATTTTCAGAATCTCTAATCTTACTGAGGTAAATAATTATACTAACTCCAATAGTCTCTGGTTAAATAGTTTTGTATTAATTTATCTCGTGTAATACAGTACCCACTATAATGTCAAGTTTACAAACAAGCATCTATAAACGATGCTTCGTAAGTAGTAGGTACTGATTTGAATATTTATTCAAAATATATTATTTTTATAGGTGTATATAGAACTTATTGAATGAATATTATTATTATTATTATAGAATTACCTTAACATATCATTAATCTTTGAGCATTTGGACTATTCGAAACTTGAAGGAAAATCATTGTTAAAATACCTTACAGAAAACATTTTTCTTCAAATTAGGTATTTCCAATATTAGCCAGATAAAATTAAATAATCCGTGGTATCCGCCAGGAAAGGAGTTGATTTCTATCAGATATTTTAACAATGATTTTTTTATAAAAAAACTATAGCAAAGCTAGCATCAGACTTATTCTTGAATCTTTTCTTTACCAGTGTTATGAAGAAAATATCGATAAATAATTTCCAATTCTCATATTTGGCTTTACAGAAAGGGAGTCCAGTTCGTTGATGCTAGGAGGAAGATTCGGCAGAAGTTGTTTCTTCCAAGCCGGAGGCTGTTTGGGAAAACGTTCCAGGCCCTATTTCCATCCCAAGTGAGTTGCCGCAATGAAAAACTATACAGGGATGTCCATCAGTGCCGGATTTATACTCCCCTACGCCGGGGCCTTTTACGATGAACTTTTACGATGCCGCCGCGACGCCGCCAAATATTAAATTTCAATTGTCAGTTTCTCAAAATTCAAATAATACTTTCACTGCTTTTCTTCAGCATATAACAATAACATGGAATCATTATGTACAACGAATCAAATTATATTCACTTCACACGTTGAACATAACAACAAACAACAATTTTTTTTTCAGATGAATACTAAAATACTTTTCTGATAATAATTAAAATTGATAAGCTATTCAATGTATCCTCTACCACGGAATTCCTAAGGTAGTTTTTCACTCTTTTTAAAGTTGAGAATGACCTTTCACCACTGGCATTACTCATCATCAGGGATAGGAAAATTCTTAGAGCTACTTCCACGTTCCAAAAAGTATCTGTGATCTTGTATTTGTGCAAAAGCGCCATGAACGATCTTGCATTGAATATTTCATAACTTTCGTTTTCGGCGATAGAATTCAGGAAATATTCCAATTGAGCACATTCATTGCCGAGTGACTTATCTACATCATTTGGGTAAACATCAATCAAAGCACGTGCTTTATCTACGATGACATCATCTGGCGGAGATGCAATTGAGAACAAAAATGCGAATGTAGATCTTTGTAGGCTTCAGCACGACTTTTTTTTTATAGCTTGGAACGCACGAAAGGAAATGAATTCCAGAGCCTAGCCGTTCTATGGATGGAGGAGTTTTGATAAAGTGCTGTTCGACATCTTTCGAGGTTGACAACAAAAGGATGAGCTAACTGGGCTTGTCTAGTTCGTCTGACTGGTATTGCTAGTGAAGGGATGATAACAGAGATTTCTGAAGAACATTTCCCGTGGAAGTATCGATAGAAAAGTGAAAGGTCGCCGACCTTTCTACGGTGTTCCAATAATGTCAAAGATTGAGTGAGTGTGGCGTCACCCACCAGGCGAATGGCTCTTCTCTGGATGGAATCTAAGAGCATCAGCGTATGTCTCGGTGCTGAACCCCGAACGTGGGAACAGTATTCTAGAACAGGCCGTATCTGCGCTTTGGAGATCATGACAAGCTGTTGAGGTGTAAAGTAGCTTTTCACACGAAACAAGAATTCGAGTTTTTGTGAAGCAGCTTTTGCGATGGATCTGACATGATTATTCCATGAAAGAGTGTTGCTGATGAAAATACCGAGCATAGATATAGTGGGCTTGGTGGGTGGTGGTGCCAGACATTACAATATCGGGCATACTGAGTTCCGCCTTTCTAGAGAAAATACATGCCTGAGTTTTGGTGGCGTTGAATTCAACTAGGTTGTTGTTTCCCCAGGCTATGATTTCAGCAAGGTCTTCATTGACAGCATTGACCTGCCTGCGCCGTGAGTTCTTAGTTTCCTGGGAAGAAATGGGAATTCTGGAAGAGAACGCAGTATGGAGGGTACTATCATCTGCAAAGCTGTGGATGGGGCAAGTTGTTACTCCCAACAACATTTATATGAAATGATACCTGTCGTGGTCGAACTCCAGGAGGCGGTGCATAAAAAGATACTCTAATAAAGTCCGTCCACTTGAGTATTCAATAGTTTACCCAGGAATAAACTAATGAGGATTCTTCGACGTTCGAGAGTTTCTAGGCTGAATTCTTCTCTGA